TATGGTGTTCCTAATAATCCTTTAGGTGAGTGTATAGTCACATATTACAGATAAAACTGAACACAAAAGTACTTCATTTTACCTGAATTGTCTTCGGTTACACTGTGTTCTTCAGTCGCCTGACTGGAAATCACTGGAGACACGCCACAGTCCACGATGTTACTTCTGCACGTATTTGTGGGCCTGTGGCCCAAAACGGCGTCCAGTGCCTCAAACCATGTGTTGGTTTCCCTGTCGGCGCCACTCCTGTTATTGTGATCTTTCAGTTTTCTGTAGTCCTGCTTCAGTTTCTTGATCTTCAAGCGGCATTGTTCTGTGGTTCGCGTGTGTCCCATGTCTTCCAAGCGACTTGAAATTATGGCAAATACTTTTTTATTTCGAGTCGTGCCATCCAAATCCCGCTGGATCTGTTCATCTGACCATATGGCGATTAAAGCCTGCGTTTCCTCATTCGTCCATCCTTCCATATTACTTTTGTATAGTTTTGTTTCAACTGCTTTCTGCTACTTGTTCGTATGTTTCTCGCTGTTTGCTGTGTTTCAAAAGATGGCGGTTGTATTTTGTATTTCAGCGGCAGGCTATTTGCATAACCAATCGACAGCAAATACGTTTGTAAGTCCCACCCCAAAGTACCGAAGTACCAAAGAAGTACTGGTACTGGTACTCGACCGGAAGTAAATGGAAAAGCGAAAGTACCGAAAGTACCGTACTTTGTGCGGTGGAAAAGCGCCCTTAGTTGCTGGAGGCTGCCGGGTGAGGAATCTGAAAAATGTTCAGTGGCTGGGCTGGGGGCGGGACACCTGATTGGATGGTGAGGCTGCAGGTGGGTGAGGGAAAAAGCAAGGAGTAGGCTAAGGTGCATGAAATGTGCCGGCGGCTTCTATACGCGTCAACTACGAAAGGGCTGATTCTGGCCGCCTGTGGTCCGACCGCTGGAAGTGTTTGCCGGTGCTTTGGTACCGATAGTGTGCACTTTACTTCAGTTTTTCTTTAGTGCTACGTGCGCTTTTTCTTTTTTGGGTTTGTTAATTGTTTTCGCTTTAGTTTACTCATTCATTCAATTTAGTTTTCTTTTTTTTTCCCGTTTCTCCTCTTCCCAGCGACGCTGCTGTGCTTGGGGGGGGGAGGCTGTGTTTGGACGTTTTGTTGTGTTTGGTTTCATTATTTAAGCCGACCGGGTCCTTTCTCTTTTGCCCCGTTTCCCCTCGTTTTGTTTTGTCTTTTTTCTGTTGTCATGGCTGTTCAGCAGCCTAGCACGTCGCGTGCGGCCGAGGCTGCATGGGTGTTGGAGGGTGGAGAGGAGGACATGAATGTTACGGTTAATATGGAAACTGACGTGCTTGAGGAGCTGGTCGGGGTGGACGACCAGGGGCAGTCAGAGTAATTAAGAAAAGAGGGCGGCAGGCGCGGCAGCAGCTACGCTGGGAGCTGCCCCCAATAAGGTAAGCAGCAGTTGGAGTCGGTGGTGGTGTTTCCCCACCTAAAAGCTATGCTGGGAGGGTGGACCAGGTTGGTCGGGCGCAGCGGTGCACATGGGCACAGGGGTACGGGCAGGTGTATTGCGGCAGGCTGGGGCTCAGGAGCTGTGGGGTAGCGGCTCTGGGCCGAAGAGCCCGTATACCAAGGAGGTCCACGGTCTTGGTGGATCTCAGTGCTTTTGAAAATGTCCCTCTTTAGAAGTTCTCAAGGCTGTGTTGCTCCTGATTCCTGAGCGGGCCTTGATCGCTGCCTGCCCTGTCCCTAATGTTTGCGTGGAGCTCACTTTTACTGAGCCCGCTTATATTGAACTCATTGAAGGTGGGCTCGCTGTGCAGGGGAAAGTGTGCCCCGTACGTCACCTGTGCCAGACGTGTGCCTGGTTTCATTCCTGCACCTGCCTGCTTATGTGCCCGACCAGGCAATATTAGATTGGCTCTCCACCTGGGTGCGGTTCCCGGCAGGCGTGGTGTCCCTGCCCTATAGTGTATAGTTCGACACAGCAGAGGGACCCCGTTATATACCCCGTCAAGTTATGCAGAATGTGTTTGCAGCCTGGACATGTCCTGGCGGACTGTCCCAAGTACCTCTGCCATGTCTGTGGCGAGTAAGCATTGGTCCCAGCTCCCACTGGACAGCGAGACTCTCTGACATCTGGATGCCCTGGGCCGGGGCTCTTTTTCTACCCTGCACGTGGCAGACTCTCCATCTCCTGGCAATAAAATGCAGAAAGGTAAATACAAGACCAAGCATTATGTCCTGCCCCGGTCTGGGGCAACTCGTCAGGTCCCCCTGCCCAGTCTTTCCACCTCGCTCCGCCAGCAGGAAGAGAGGAGACAGTCTGTGGTGGCTTTAGCAGCCATGCGTGCTGCGAGCCTGGGTCCGGACGACAGTGCCCATTTTATGTAATGTGCTGTTTCCCTTGTCTTGATTGTATTTATTGCTTATTTATTGTCATTGTGTATTGAGTGTACTTGTTTTATTGCGTCACTGTCGTCCCTCAGTGTCCCATCACCCTGTTTTAGTTGTATTAATTATTATTTATTCATGTTTTTTTTGCTCCCTTTATTATTACCCTTTTATTGTTGTGTTTACCTTGAAATCGCTCGCCCATTGGGCAGCTTGGGGGTGGTTTGGTTCTGGTGGGGAAGTCCCGCTTTTAGGTACTGATTGGTTTTAGCTTGCCCTGGTTTTACCTGTTTTTAGTGTGTCCTGTGCTACCTGTTCCAATATCAATGACAATGACTCTCACCTCCTTAAATGCTCCCAGGCTAAGGTTAATTTTAAATGTGTGTAGGGACTCCTCTGTTATTTGTTTGCAGGAGACTGGGTGGGGTGGGGCTTTTATTGATCAGGTGCAGGACGTATGGTCGGGCGATGTCTTCTCCACCGCCTCTGTCAGGCCAGGGACTGCCGGTTGGGGTGTCGCGCTGCTATGTTGCAGCCCCCACATCGAGTTTCCGTCACTGCTGTACTCGGATGGTGAGGCTCCCGCGGATCGTAATCAGTTTCTGGCAGACAGTCACTTTTTGGCACAACAGGTGTTGGTGACATCGCCACTGTAACAGACAATGGCTCAAATTTTGTTAAAGCATTTAAAACATACCAACATGTTAGTGAGTCAGACGATGATGAAGAGGCTGAGGAAGGCATAACCTTCATTGATATCACAGAAGCCCTCTCCACTGTGAACGAGAAGGACAACCAGCAGACACTCCCCCCACACTACCGCTGTGCATCACAACCTAGTTTCTACCAGTGATGTTGAAAAATTCTTAACTGAAAATACAAACACTACAGCTGTATATAGGGTTAGCATTGCTAAATGCACAGCTCTTTGGACCAAAGCAAGTAGATCAACAGTTGCATCAGAGCATGTAGAAGAAGTCAGCCAAAGAAAGCTCCTGGTGCCATCATCCACAAGGTGGAATTCTTTTTTGAGGCTGTTTCCAGGATCACAGAAATCCCCATGAATGATCTGAATCCACTGTGCAACAAGTTAGGAGTCGAGTGCTTTAATGAAAAAGAGAACCAGTTCCTGATGGAATACTGCACTGCAATGAAGCCCCTGACAGCTGCACTGGACATCCTGCAAGGGGATAACTGCTCCTATGGTGCCCTTATTCCAACACTGGAAGTCCTGATGACAAAGACTCTAAGCACTAAAGATACACTCTCCAGGATGACAGCTGGCCTGCCGGATGTCATTGTAAAGGTATGTCCCATGCATTATCTAATTACTTGTAGACCAAAAATATATTTAAAAAATTTATATTCAGTAATTTTTAGCAATAGTAAAGATACAGCTAAATATTATATTAAATATTTCTTTGAAATGTGTATTTTCAGGCCATTCAGACTCGTTTTGCTGATGTTCTTGAGAACAAGGATGCCCTCCTGGCTGCTGTTAGCTGTCCACAGTTCAAGCTTCGCTGGGTGAGGGATGACAGAAGACAGCGGCTGAAGGAGCTCCTCATTGCAGAGTGTGGTACAGTTCCTCCAGTAGATGGTAAGACTGTGACAGTACCTACTCACTGGGTTAAACCAGGTGGGGGCATGGACTTCTACGAGTTTGGGCCAGACACTGATGAGTCCTACACTGCAGAACAAGAAGTCATGGACTATTTGCGATGTGGGGGATATGAGCTTCATACTCATAACCAATTCCCAAACATCAAAAATGTTTTCTTGAAGTACAACACCCCAACACCATCTAGTGCACCTGTAGAGCGCCTCTTTAGTTTAGGTGGGATAGTTCTCACACCAAGGAGAAATAGGTTGTCTGACCGGAGATTTGAGATGCTTCTTTTGATGCGATACAACCACTGTTTTTCATCCTCCAATCCCATTGACCCAGAAAATTAAGGAGAGGCAAGTTCAAAATGCTTTACGAAGCACAAGTTATGTTAGTTGTGTTGGAAGGTTTATGTTGCAAATTCTTGACATTCTCTCTCAAACTTTCTAGTGCTGCCTTAAGAATTTTTTTTTTGTTATAAAATATGATTTACTATGCAGTAGCATTGTTTACACATTCTAACTGGAAGAAAGAAATTCAGGACTTTTTATTGTGACTTTCCATTGGATTACTTTTTATGGAAGTAATCATAAATCAGTAATTAGATTACTTTTGAACTGAGTAATTAGTAATCAGTAATCGGATTACTTTCCCAGAGTAACTTGCCCATCACTGGTCATAATACATCACTCTCAACATGCTGGAAATTGACAGACAGCCATGTTTATGTTACTGCCATTTATCAGGTATTGTAGAAAAGGCTGTTAAATAAGTGTTTTGTTTAATTGTGCAGTGTTCTGAGCAGGCATTATTTCGGCCATTGGAGGCGTCACGCAGGACCCCACGTTGGTTTTTTTCCTCTTCTTCGCTTTCCTTTGGGCTGGATGCAGAGTTCAACGTAGTTATACAAAGTTTTGTTGGGTTTATGGTGTAGTTGTGCGTGCATGCTGAGTAAGTATGCAGTTCATTCGTACCGCAACTATGCTTTGTAACTGGAGCAAATGCTTATTGTTTTATACGTTTGTAATTTAAAATAAACATATCGCGCTGATCGCAGTTCGCGTTTTGCTGCGTTAATGCCGCTCAGTTTTGAGTATTGTATGTTTATTTTCGTTTTGTAATACAAATGGTTAATATAATTTAATATCTATATTTGTTTAATGTTTGTAAAACTATGTTACCCGTGAGCGGTAGTTATATGTTGATTCCTATGTTTTTATTTCTGTTTCAGTAAACCACAATTGCATATTTCCCCAACGAGTATCCGGACTGTTTTATTGGTGGTGTGTTAATGCGCTACTATCCAACTATAGGATAACCTGTCAAAAGTAGGCAAACAAACCCAGTGTTCTGATCGGACACTCTGTAAAGGTTACCACCAGGAGAGAATCGGCGACTCCCTCTTTTTTTTTTTAGACAACACTCTTTTACAGGTATATATATCCATAAAAACTCAAGTAAATATCTGTTAATACTGTAAACCTTTGTGAACTACTGAAGGAACAAGTAATGAATAACACAAATGAAACACTAATCTCATGTTTGCTCATCATTAATGAACCGTGACGCATCATGAATAGTGACTATATTTATTGTTAATTTGCTCATGATTTCTGCTTCAGTAGTAACTGAGTTATTACTATATAATTTGCACCCTGTCAAGTAAAGGTGCCGAACAATGTTTTATAAATGACCTTTTCCTTATGAGTCTTTCCTGCCTGACAGAACACAGTTTTTCCTTTCCCCTCCTATTCAGAAACCACAGTCCTTACTCCAGGTTCCACTTCTATCTCAGTGACCATCAAGCCTTCTGCTCCTGGATCGACCCCCACAGGAGTGAATGATAAGGAACAGAGGTTAGTATTCAACTCATCATGCTACAGCGTCTGACTGATCATACAGTAATGGGAAAAGCATATTAACTGTATGAAAAAAGGACATTGTATCTATTTTCTTTCTTAATTATAGTATCCCTGAGACGGCATCCCATCCAGTCTGAGCCCCTGCCTTGTGCCCTCTGCTGCTGGGGATAGACTGCAGGCCTGTTTGGTAGATGGATGGATGGATGGATGGATGGATTTTACAAAACAGTATAACATGTAATCTAATAAACTGGAATGCACATGGTGTGCAAGTACTCATTAGCTGTATAAAGGTTCACATGCATGGTGATTTTTGTCATAACAGTGTAAATACACAAAAAATAAATGTGCATTTGCTTCACTATGACAAGACGTTGTTGGGCATATTGCTTTATACACCAAATGTGTACCAGTTATGTGCTTCCCTGCTAATAATCATACTGAAATTGGTAGTTTAAATTCTCCGGTTATTTTCACACTCTTGGTTAATATCTCCTGTTCCTCTGTCAGAATACATTCACTGCATTGTTCTTCAGGTTTAAATGTGATACGTGTGACTGACAGACACAATGATGTATTATATGTCTGACAGGTGGGAGCAGGTTCTGGATGCTGTACTGAAAGCTGGGACTGGTGTGTTTTATCTGATTTGCACCATCATCGCCATTCAGCTGCACTGGAGCTCCTGTAGAAAGATGGGACCCAATCAGAGAGAAGCAGAGGGAGGGGCCAATACACCCCACGGGTCTTAGGGAATTGTGATTAAATATACAAGCTCAGTAATGCTTTTTAAAATGATTAAACAATGATTGAACAAACTTCAAGGATGGATTGTTTAGTGGGGACCTGTGCAGCCACTACTTTGTACTTTGCTGCCACCTGCTGGTTCAATTCACATATTTGTCCTTCATTATGTTCAACTTTCACTTGGCTGTTTTAACGCTTAGCAACATCTAATAATAGGTCAATAATGAAAGTAACATTGAGCCTTATTACATTGCTTATAAATTCTGAAATATATTTTATTTTTTCTGATTTAATAAATGCTGATTTAATAAATGCTTTATTTTACTGTGGTTGGTAATTAGCAGAAATGAAGATTTTTTTAAAATAAAAGAAAACTGTATGTGGTTTTCAGGTCATGCCTCCTCATCAGACCCCACCAATCAGTGACCCTCTCAGTGTGTGATGTAACAGACGAAAAACCAGGACCACCCACTTTGCAGCAAAAACACAGCAGCTTGTCTCAGTTGCAGCAGCCGATACATATCAGATAAGCCGGAACAAAGGATGTGTCACAAGTAAAAGGATATCATACACCAATTGGTCAAAATTAAATGAAAATATCTTTGTATAATATATTTGTTTCTGGTTTAGCTCCCATTAAATGACAGTAAGTCGAACTGCTGTCTGTGGTGCTGAAAACCTGGATCCTCAAATTTCACATTAAATATCTTTAGCTGATTTAACTGTAACCCTCTTATTTTGTTGGCAATTTTGCTCTGTTAAGCATAAAGAGGCAGGGATAGAACGGATTACAGTGGGTTACAGGTGAATTAAATTAGTTATTTTTATTTAAGAACCAAAAAGGCTTTGGACAGTTAGAACATCTTTGGACAGTTTAAGATTAAGATTATGATTCTCTATATTGATCCTGGGGGAAATTCTCGTGCAGAAATCAGCAAGTAAATAGTGCACAGATTAAAATACATTTAGTGTGCGAGAGCTGAGTAATACCTGGACCCCAGAAAAGCACAAACAGGAGAAGGAAAAAGGATTAGCACTGAGATAAATATGGCTGCAACAAACACAACACACAAAATACTGTGTCACTATATTGCAGCAATTTCAACTGATGAAAATTTAAAGTAATATTTCCGATATGGGATATTTAAGTAATAGTGTTGTTCCCAAAACTGGAAATGGACAACCGGAGTGAACATTTAAAATAACAACCAGAGAAAATATTTGTTTTTCAGTCAGTGGAATTATTAACACCAGTTCTTGATAAACAATAAAACCACCGCAGTAGTTTACTGTAAATGTAAACAAATGATTTACTGTAAAATGGCAGAGTATTTTCTTGGTTTGTTTCCTTTATCTGACTTTTCATTTGAAAGACAAAAACTGCACTGGTTTATTTTAAATATTATGATGTGTATATTATTGACCTGATATCAATTTTTCCATTTGTTAAATATCACAGTTCAAATCCAGTATATGGCAACACTGGTATCTGTGACACTTAAGCTTTTATTTTTAAAAATACGCTGGAAAATTAGCATCAGTAGCACCCCTGTCTGGCTCGTACTGCCTGACCTGACTGAAAGGATGATTAATGGGTGAGAGATTGTAAGATATTGTAACAACGGCGGAGACAAAATTAGATAACAGAAAAAAAATGCTGGAAAGGAATGTGGAATTCATCCCTCACCTGAGTGAAAGATTTTGGATGAGCACCCTCCCATATATCCACCAGCGAAATAATACCTAGCTCTTCCGACATTCTTTTTTTCCTTAAAGAAGTTGCTCTATGGCTTAACTGTTTAAATTGCCACTTTGCTGGTCATATTTTAATGTAGGTTTAATCAGAATGTCCATTAATTTTTTTGATTCTCTTTTTCTCTGGGGAGCACAGGCTGTCCACACAATGTGTTTTAGTCTGACGTAGGAGAAAGTAACAGTCTATAAAATTTAGAGTAGTAATTATAATTCTTAGAGATGTTGTGCTTCTGTTGCCTTCACGTTCAAAAGATGAATTTGTCCTGCGATTGAAGCACAAACACAACAAGAGGGTGCTCTTCAGAAAAGAATACTTCAACAGTAACTAAAAAGTCTGATAAAAAGTCTAAAGACTACTTGTATTTGTTAAGAAAAAGTGACAGGATGATGAACAAATATTATGGCTTTATTAAGGGTCCAAAGCATTATAGTGCTATGGACCATTATTGTTTTTCTTAGGAGTATTTATTATTTTTCTGCCCTAAAACTGAATGTGCAGCCTAAACCGTAAGACCGAGGCCAACCAAACTTGGTAGGATGATGTCAATTCCTACCCACTACTCAGACCCTCCGACCCAAATCAGTCAGTCAGATTTTTGACCAATATCTCCTGTCCTGTTAGAAAAAATAATTTCGATTGTAGGACTATCAATACAGGCAGATTTTCCCTACAACTTTCAGAGTGAAATTATTAGGCTCTGCCTACTTATATTTTTTTTCTAATTTGCATAATTTACAAAACTTAAAAGTCCTACATTATCTGACCAAATCAGACAAATGAGATGTCAAACCGATCAGTCCTTTTATTAAAAAAGTCCGACATTTCTGTATCATACAGCCATCTGCCATGCCCAAACTCCACCTAAATTTGGCCAGTTTCAGTGTGACTGCTATAACTTCTCCTTCTGCCTTGGCCTACCTTAAACAAACTTAAAATCCTACCTCCCTGCTCCATTCTGGGAACACCATACAAAGCAACCTGCATTTAGTCAATAGGGGGTGCTACAAATAGCTAATTTCAATATCTCCTGAACTGCTTGGCCTATCCAAGTGAAATTTGGCATATGTCTACTATGGCCAAGCCTGAAGTCTGATCCATAGTATGGCAGTCATTAGTCATACAATGGTGGCCATAATTAGCCAATGAAAATCAAGCATGCATTTGACAGGCCTAGCAATCACCAATGTCAACTAAATCTGGATGATCCATGTGTCTACAGACCCTGACCTCACCCTGGTAAGGACACCCCAGTCTGCCAAATGGGGGCGCTACAGTGACAACTTTTGCATTTCTGCCTATTTCTCCAGAACTGTCAAGCCTACAGTTGACATTTATTACCAGGCCAATTCAGTATGACATGCCAAATCAAACAACATTTAGAACTTGGTTCTCCATCTTTGCGTTTTTGCACAATTTATATAGGTCTGAAAACAGGACTTTTCGTTAACCTCCTAGGATTTTCTCCCAACCTACATAAGTCTGGTATCATTTAAATCAGGAGACAGTCCTTATATATAATTATTAAAAAAATCCTAAACTTTCTGTAAGGTTCGGCCACCAGCAACACCCAGACCATACAGGCACCACACCCATTTCCACCAGACAGCTGTATCTCAGGCCTGCCTCAGCTCATTATTACCAAACTTGAATATATCCTGTAGGACAGTACTGGGGAAGGGCTCTCCAAATTTTGTGCCGATTGGTCAAACGGGGGCGCTACAGCAATGTAACATGTCTGTACAAACCTGGAAAACCAGTGCAACTTACATTTTTCTCATTTCTGTTCCAGTCACATATTACTGCTCAAAATCCTTTGTACTCCAAGTTCTCTGAATCATGCTAAATCAAGATATATGTACCGTCCAATGACAATCATTTGCAGTCCCTCGTGAAGTTTAAAAACTCCATAAATGACATATTCCTATAACTCCTACAATGTCCACCCCACCTAGGTCATTCTGGTAGTAGGTCAATCAAGACATTGCCCTTATGGATAATTTATAAAAATAACTGACCTACCTGTACAGTATGGCCACCAGCCACACCCAACCTGTACCATTTCCATGCTCATTTCAATCAACGACCGTAATCTCAGCTGTGCTTCAGCCAATCCTCACCAAATTTGACCGACTAATGTAGCACTGGATCCGAGACAGACCAACCAACTTTGGTGCCGATCGGTAAAACAGGGGTGATACAGCCACTGTCCATATATGTCTAAGATTCACCTTCAAATTCAGCTGAAATGTCCTTATTTCTCATAAAACCTTGAAAGAATTGTTACCTTTCCCTTCACCTGAGTCCATATTTTTAATTTCCTTTCATTTTTCACCCATTTGCCTCGTAGAACATTATCAGATTTCATTTACACATGGGAAGGCCTGAAAGTATTGAATAGTTTTTATCAAATGGAGCGCTGTCTCCACCTGCTGGCCGCACCATTTCCATGCCCATTTCATTCAAACACCTAAATCTCAGGCATGCTTCATCCAATCCTCACAAAATTTGACAAACTTCTGTGTCACTGGACTTCAGACAGACCCTCCAACTTTGGTGATGATGGGTGAAACGGGGGCTCTACAGCCACTGTCCAAATATGTCTAAGACCCACCTTCGGTAATGCAGCTGAAATGTCCTTTCCCTTCATCCAAGTTCATATTTTTCATCCATCCATCCATCCATTATCTCCCGCTTATCCGAGGTCGGGTCGAGGGGGCAGCAGTCTCAGCAGGGAAACCCAGACTTCCCTCTCTTTCATTCACTTTCATTTTCCTGCCATTTGACTTTTAGAAATGTATCAAACTTCAATGATACTTCAGGCTGTGTACACTGCAGCAATTACAGTTTTATAATAAATTAATAAATTAGAGTCAGTGCTCCATTTCAATAATGCTATTCAATAATTTCAGCCTTTCTCCGGTCTAATTGAACAGCCTAGAATAGGATATAGCATGATATTACTACTGTTACATGCATAAGTCCCACAACTCAGCACTTTGTTAAGAATATGCAACACAGCCTATGTTAACACAGGCAGTATAAACAAAGCAACCCTGTAACATCTAGACTTACCAGATCAGGTATGAAGGTGCTTAAATCTATCAACTACTCAGACCATAGGACCCAAACCATGCATTCAGTCAGGCTCAGGCACTCCACCACAGGGTTCTACATTCTGTCCTACATTTGCTGACCTGTTAGACCGACACTCAACAATCTCCATCCTCATTTCTATCTACTACTCAGACCATCTGACCCAAACCAGTCCTGTTCTGTCTGACATCTGCTGACCTATAGTTCTGTCTGACTTGTTAGTACCCTCCTCTACTGTTTGTCCTACCAGGACGATCATCCTATGCTTTGGACCCGTTTGTTACTGCCTGCAGTTACTAGTATTGAATTTGTTTCTTTCATATGGCAAATTACCAATCCACAAATCCAAATGCACTCCGAAAATACGTAACATATTGTAATAACCAGCAGAGGCAAATGACGAGAATGCTTATTGTGGGTATAAACGCTGGGCTTTCATTAATAACCCTAAAAAGCTTAATACGAGTATTTAACAAAAACCAGATAAGGGAAAGACAAGGTCGTCAGACGCCGGACTGTAAGGTACACACACGGTGGGAGATTTATACGAAGCTAAGGACACGCTACGATCGGGCAGCGTTCACATAAGACACGGGCAAACATACATGTAACTGCCAGGAACAAGTCATAACAGTAACTACAAATAACACCACCACAAGGGGGCTATTTACAATGTCCCAGCATGTTCAGCGAATCTCGCAGGCGATACAGTATCAGTTTAAGTTGGAATAATGTAGGTATGTGAAGAAAATTTTCAAACTCAACTAAATGAAAGAGCTTGAATAAACAAAGACAATGACACCAAAATCACTCAGATATCTTAACAAATAAGGAAATCATTGGCAAAAGAAGTTCGCTAATTAGCCATATTTTTTAAAATGGAATTTGTGTAGAAAAATGTGACCAAATACCTAACTTTTTATATAAAAACGCTTGTAGTTTCCTTAATAATCAAGATATCTCAATGAAACTTTCAGGGAACGTGTATCTCTTTATATTCTTCAATCTGAAAGAATAATATATATTCCAAGTATGTCCTTGGTCTGAAATAAAATTGATACAAGGTGAAGAC